GGGCACCTGCATTTTACAGCGGGACCCACAAAGACAAACGGTGTGGGGACAGGGATAAAAATCATTTCACACTCTCCTAGAAGCCCTACAAAACCTACTCCATTAGCAGGAGCAAGAGGTGGGTACTGTGGTGCTGGATCTAAGGAGAACCAAGCAGCAGTGCATCCACCTACACACAGGGGCTCTATGCAAACCCCTGCAACCTGGCAGGGGGCCATGAGGGGCCAAGATCTCCAGCTGTGCTTCTCACCTTCATGGAGAGCAGACGTGTCAGGTAGATCTCCGGGATTGCCTTGGCTCGTTCCCTGTCTCGCAAGCTCCCTCGGCGGTGCTTGGGGAGCTCCGGCTCTTCTGTTGGTTTTACCAGGTGCCAAAGTTTTATTCCACCTTCATCGGCATCCTCCAACATTGGCGTTTCTGAAACAAAACAAGTGTTTGAGACCCACTCGGAGGCCACCCTCTGCCACATGCTCTAGCTGCCTCTGCTTGAGCAAGGGGTTGGACTAGATGATCTCTACAGGTCTCTTCCAACCTCAACCATTCTGTGATTCTGTGTTTGCAGGTGAGAAGAAAGCAAGATTTCAGTGTGAAAGAAACACCAGCAGGAAGAAGCCTCTGCATTAGAAAATTCCACCAATTGTGTGTTTTCATGCCAGTCTCACTTTCTTCTGCTTTTACAATCTTTTGCTTTTCTCTCTTCTCACCCACCCAGTGAGATTCCATTGCCTGGGGACACTGTAAAGGTGCAAATTGCCCAGCAATCTTCTCTAGCAGTGTTAAGCTAGGGCTATAGCACGAGCTTTGCCCCACTAGCTGGCAGGTGTTGGGAAATCATTTTATGAGAAGGTGACATCCGACTCACTTTCTCCTGGGATGTAGTCCTGATTTTCCCTATGGATATGCTTGGTCAGGCGTGGGACCAGTGCTACAGTTGCTCCATCGGGCACCTGCTCACAAGCAGAAATCATAATTCAAAACAGGAAACATCATTCAAAACATTTCCCACCAGTACAACTAGCAAGGGCTTGTAGAATATAAGAGATTATGAACACGCTCTGTGTTACACACTCTGTGAATTAGAATTATTAAATTCTGATAATTTCCAATCATTAGAAGTAGTGACAGAAACAGGGTCTTTGGGTGCCATCACTGGTATTGCTGATGCTGGGAGAACTAGATTAGAAAAGCCTGGGGCATCCAGAGCCACGAAGATGGCAACACTGATCCCTGGCAGGGGCTGAGGTCATTCATATCCAGAACACACCGTGACAAGGTATGACTTATTGGTGCAAAGTAGTTAAAAATTACTTCCTGATGCCATTGGCTGTACCACAGCTGAGCACAGCACCCATCTGACAGCAGCCCAGGAGAAGCCAGAGCCACGAGCAGAGTGTAACACTGTACGGAGGGTGAGGTGGGAGACAAGGCAGGGGAGGACTCCGTGCTCTGACCTTGTAGTGCTGAAGAGTGTTCAGGCGCTTCCAGGTTCCTTGGACGACGGATGTCACGTCCTCATCAGACAGTATCAGGTGACCGGCCAGCCCTGATCTCCACTCTGCAATCAAAGCACAGTAAAAGGATGAGCTGTTTCCTATGGAAGTTGAGGCCTCTCTAAACTCTCCTGTGCTCCAGTCTTGAGCAGCAGAACCTTCATCCAGAGAAAACTAACCCCACACTCAAATAGACACGTTGTAGGAAAAGGCATTTCAGCCATTATCTGTATTGACCTCACAGCAGTATAAGGGGTTGGCCAGAGTGCCTGGAACTTCATAGCAGCTTTTCTTGTCCCCCAGAACTAAGAAACTGAGGTTTCCTGAGCTTTCAGTGCCAGGAGCACTGGGGAAGGGGCCCCGCAGGTGCGTGTTCCTCTCCCTGCCTGCAGTTCCAGGTTTTGTGCTGCCACAGTGCTCAGGAGTTAAGAGAACACCAACCTAGCTCCAAAGCTACAGAGTTTGACAAGGGCACATTATGTTTTCAGCCCCCATTTCCAGACAGAAGATGTGAACACCCTACATCCATCCAGGACGACCTGCGTGCCGCTGGCCTCCCTCTTGGCTGCAGTCGTCCCTTCCTGCCCTGCCAGCATCTGAGCCGATACAAACAGGGCAGCAACTTCTTCCCCTAAGGAGAAGGTGAAATGCAGAGATGTTCAAAGGTGAAATAAGATTGGGGATGCCAGCACGTTCCTGAGATCAAGTGCACCAGGCTGCAACGGGGCAAGAGGGGAAGGGCATTGCCCATCAATTAAAAGCAGGAATAAATAGTCGGATTTGTCAATAAAGGGAGGCCACCAGAAGAACCCCATAGGAGTCCATGCTGCTCAACACTCACAGATGACCTGGAGCAGAGAGGAGAACAAGAACAGTCTGCTAATGGTATGAATTTATTCCTGGCACTAAAGACATGGCTAAGTGCAGAAGGATCCCACAATACTGACTAGTTGCTAAAGTAGCAGATTACTATTAATCAGAGGAAACAATTGATGAAACAATTCATATGGGAGGCAAAATCAGAAAGAAAAGTTATGTATATAACAAAGTTTTCAAGCAACTTTAATCTATCAGGAATGAGAATATGAGGTTATAATAAAAAGTTCAATGAGAACATCAATTCAGCACTGGTTAGAAAAGCAATCTGAATGTTAAGAACCTATAAAAACAGAAAAAAAGGTCACATCATCACTATTCCACTCCAAAAGCCATTGGTCTGGCACATATAAATTCTTTGTAGTTATTGGTACTAATATTTTTAACTAGTTACTCAGTAACAAAATTTCCATCTGGAACTCTTCATGTATCACTTCAGGTTTGACTGACCTGAATAGAAATCACTTGCCACTTTGGTCTATCTGCCACCTTGGAGAAGGACAATTAGCAAAAAAAGTCTGTAGACTTCAAGATCTTAAGATCAGAAAGCCTTTATATATATATTTTTTCCATTTATAAAAACATCAAGTCACATCTCAACTTTCCTCTCAACAAGCTGAACATGCTAAGCTTCAAAATTCTACAAGGTTTGTTTTTCAGCCTCCGGATAATTCAAAATTCTTTGCACTTGCCACATTCTCCTGGAAAAGCAAATGCCAGGATCTGTGTCTAGCAACAGGCTTGCCTCAGCACCGCATCAGGGAGATCATCCTCTTGCTTTGACCTGCCAGCTCCCCTGTTTCGCACCCCCTGATCCTTGTTAATCTTCAGCTGTGCTGTTTCTCTGACAGCAGAAGTGAGCAGGAGCCTAGAGCAGTGCTGAGCGCTCCCAGCTGAAGCTTGGGGCAGCCCTCCTGGTCTCCCAGGTGTCTCATGCAGCACTGGCCAAGTTCATCAGCACTGTCAGACTGCGGCCCTTCAAGCATGGGTCAGACCACGAGTAGGCGCCCACATTCCTTATTATCAGCTGTTTCCCCAGGACATGCTCATCTGTAAACATCACCGCTGTTCAGAAACGGTTGAAGAACGAAGAAGAGGGAGAACAGAGTGTTTTTGCCACCTCAGTGAGAGTCCTGACTCTCATTAACCTGCGGCCTGGATTCTCTCTGGCTGATGTTGCTGTGACTTCACGGGCAGCAGCAGTTCATGACCATGGCCTTGGCCCTGTGCTCCAGCCTTCCCCTCCCTTGCGTGCTCTATGCTTATTTTCCTACATCCCCTTGTACCACCCGCTGCCACAGGCCAGGCCTGGCAAAAAAACCAACACCGTGTAATCAAAAAGGCCGGACTCCAGCTACCTCTGCCCCAGCCCAACCTCTTGCTTTGATCCGTCTCCAAGACCATGTCCCGTTGGGTCCAGCCACAGCACGAGACCGTTGAGCCTCTGCGCACAGCACAGGGCCACCCAGGTCACACACGCCAGGGCGCTGTGCACACACAGCAAGGGGCTTCACCCCTTTCCTCACTGAGTTTTGGCACCAAGGAGTTCTGCTCACCGAGGTCCAGGGTGTCTGGGTCTGGCCGGTGACAGTACGGTGTCCCTTTGTAGATCTGATCTAGGATCTTCTCCTTCACCTGTGTTATGGTGTCACAGTCCAGCACTTTCGCAGAAACCCCTTGCGAGTCCTCTGCCCCTCCCGCAGCAACTCCTGCTTGTGTCAAAGCATTTAAGGTCTGAGGAAGAAAAGAAAAGGTCAGAGCCGCTCACCACCATACGGTTACATCTGACACGTTTGCACCTTTGATGAGCAGCTCAGCATTAAGGCAAGTTAACAACTAGTCCTGTCATTGGAAGAGTCTCAGAGAAGCCAGCATCACAGACGCGGTCCTCAGTCTTGACTCAAGAGCTGGAAGCCAGTTTAACAGGGCTGGGGAGAGGCTTCCACATGTCATCAGCGATTTTGTCTCCTTATATTCCAGACACTGAGCATGGCACTTACACAAGATTACTGTGGTGATAGCTTGTATCAGCCCAGGGCAGAACTGCCTGATTTATCAGAACTTTTGTTCATCTACAGTATGTGGCTCTCTGTGCCCTGCGATAAAGGTGGCTCCTGGGAGGCAGTGGCACGATGCTGCATTTCTGCCTCAACAACAGGAAGAGAAACATTCAGCCCCGTCCACCAGAGAGCCCAGAGGGAAGTGGTGCTTACCAGGGTCCGGTATTCCAGGTCCTCTCTCAGGAGGCGGTTGTCATTCAGGGTGTATTTGGCTTTTCCTGTCACCCAGTCAACAGGCCCCTTGTCCACTTGGTGCTTGATTCCTCGAAACAGCATGTAAAGGGGCTCCCCAACAGAGTCCTGGTACAGAAAGGAGGGAGTTTCACCCAAGAGAACGTCACCTTCCTCCCTGAGCAAAGCCCAACAGCTTGGAAACACACAACAAATCCAAGCACAAGCAGATTTGAGGGCACCAGGCGATACAGCAGCTGCATCTCTGCAGGCAGAGTCCTCATCAGTAGCTCCTGCATGGACCAGCTAACAGGCTGGACCCACAAGACCAAGGGATTGCTCAGTCTCCACATGACTCTAGCCATGACTCTCCAGAAGGAGACTCGGATCAGACCATCTTCCCCCCACACACACCAGCCCCACCAACAGGTCTCACGTCGGGAAGATAACGGAGCTACCCTGAGCCCTCCACAGCCTGAGTGGGGGGACTGGAATCAATGCTCTCTGATTTAAGCCCCTCTCCCCCGCAGCGAGCAGCCCCAGCTCTCATCTCCACACCCTGAAACAGAGTGACCCTGGCACTATCTCAATTAGGAGGTGGCATAAAGCAGGGCCGTGGTTGTCTCCCCTCTTCTGGTCCCTTAGCCCCACAAAGGCACGACGGGCTCACCCTGACGAAAGCATACAGGCAGATGGACATCCAGTTGGTTAACAGTTTCTCCACTACTGTTTCTGTCCTGAAACAGAGCACGAGCTTGGTCACAGGACAGCAGTGCTGAGGGAAGGTGCACGGCAGGGAGGGAAAAGGGGATAAAGATGACTATCTGTGAGAAAGGAATACACCGAGGGATCAAGCAAAGTGGCCTTAATGGACCAATAATGCTAATGCTCCTGACCTCGCTCCTTATTTGAGACATGTTTTAGCTTGAAGGAGGCAAGTTACAGAAGTGAAACATGTCAAGCAAGCAGGGGACTAAGGAAAACGTCTGGTAGGTCTCAAATCAGTGGAACTTGCTCAGATCAGAAGGATGTGCTGGACGGGAAGCTAATGGGGATCCAAACACAGGAGCTATTTCAGTGTATTTGCCAAGCATGGAAGCACTACAAGCCCAAGGACTCTAAATAGTAAAATAAGACTAGCAGAATTGGTAGAGCCTCAGTATTTGAACACAAGGAGAGAGCTAATACATAACAACTTCAGAGAAACGGGCTTTTGGGGTGGGTAACTCCAGCTTCCTACTCTTCTCAACCCTTCCCTCTCAAATCAGTGGAACTTGCTCAGATCAGAAGGATGTGCTGGATGGGAAGCTAATGGGGATCCAAACACAGGAGCTATTTCAGTGTATTTGCCAAGCATGGAAGCACTACAAGCCCAATGACTCTAAATAGTAAAATAAGGCTAGCAGAATTGGTAGAGCCTCAGTATCTGAACACAAGGAGAGAGCTAATGCACAACTTCAGAGAAACGGGAATTTGGGGTGGGTAACTCCAGCTTCCGACTCTTCTCAACCCTTCCTGCTCTCTTTTCTCTGCCAGTTGCTGGCTGGGATAATGCGGATCGCTGTCTCTCCTCCCTCCTGTTTCATGCACATTACTTAGACACACAACGGACCTTCTTCTACATCCCAAGCCACAGTGTTACCCTGTCTGCAGGGTTTGCTAGCCAGGCAGAAAGGCTCCATCCCCTTTGCCATCCCCCATGGGAGGGGAGCCAGGAGAAAGGCTCCATCTCCCATGTAACAAGGAGCGGGACCACGGCTGGCTGACTCACCTCCGCAGCATCAGCTTGGGGTTTTTGGCCACATACTGCTCAACAAGGTCATTCAGGAGCGTTTTGAGGATGTCAGTGAAGTACTCCAGCTTTCCATGGAGCGACACAGTGAGCAGCGAGGCTACATAGGCCCGGTCTCTTGGAGAGAAAGTGCGCTGGATTTCCAGAGTATGTATGAACTGGTGGGGAGAAAGAGCTAAGTCAGTGTGTGAATTCCCTGAAAACAGGGCAGTACAACTACTGGCTCAAGAAGTAAACTGTGCTATAGGGAGGGGATGAACTTTGATGAACAACCCCTGCTTCCTGCAGCCCCTCGGGCAGGAGCATTACCTTGGTGAGGAAGAGTTTGCTGTTGAGCAGATTGGAGAGCTGGACCAAGCCCTGCTCCACAGTTTGCCTTCGGCACTCGGGGATGTCCAGGTCTCTCTGCAGTGGTGATTCACGGTGGCCCGGGAAGAAAATGCGCTCTGCATAGGACTTGTAATCCAGGAAGGGGATTCCTGTGCCCACAAGGTCGCTTGTGAGGTCCATCATTTCAGTCATCAGGTCTGAGGGAAAGGAAATGCCAGTGATGCTGACCACAGGACAGAACAACTAGTGGTAACGAGCATGAGGTTAGTGTAACCAGGGCCATGTGGTGAGACTGAGGAAAAGGAAGGATGTCTCCTCACAGGAAGATATTGGAGTCCCACTTAAAACTGGACTAGGCACTGGGGAAAACTGAGAAGGATTGAGAAGATGAATTGAGCCATTATTCTCCCTTACAGTTGGGGTCTGACTTCCAGTTTTACAGCTCGGAGGCCACTGTTCAGCAAGGATTGGTGGTTCTGGCCCTTATCTACAGTAAAACAGAGCTCCTGCTCCTCTCTGCTTCCCACATCGTGGGAGATCACAATTCCAGTCACTGTGCCAGGAGCTGGGGCACTAGAACTGTACGGTGCTCGCTGCTGTCATCTGTGAAGCACAAGGGCTGTGCTCATGGTGCAGTTTCAATAGAGGCTGGACTAGGCATGTGTAGGGTCCCTCCAAACGCGCTATGACCTTCGGCTTTTCATCTCTGGGGGTGAACAAGGGGGCTGTATAGATAAGACCATACTCTGAACTACACAAAGGTTCTCACTGGCATATGGGGCAGCAGAATTTGGTTGGTATGGGATGGAGTTATTGTCTGCTCTGAGCTACCTAAACCAGGACAGAGGAAGGGGAAGAGAAATAAGGCCAAAAGAGGTTTCTCAAACTTCCCTACAGCTTCGAGAGCACAGGAACAATGTGACTGACCTGTGAACTCCTTTTTGCATCTGTCTCGAACACTTGTTTCTAAATTTTCCAGCTGTATTTGAACTTTCTTGTAATCCCGTAGAGCCTGTTTACTCTTCCTCCTGAAAGAAGCAGTAGAATAGTTTCCAGCAGTCCTGGCCCAATGCTTGTCCTTGCCAGCTGCTATATTGCTGCCAAAGACTGCAGGGCAATGCTCTTGAGGTGGTTTCTATCTTTACAGCATAGCAGACTGTGTTGTATAAACTACATGTGCCTCTTGGAGCACTCATGAGGCTCGTGCTGCAAGTGAACCAAAGGCAGGCTGCAGCCAGCAGCTGCAGCAGGCTCGTGTCTCCCAGAATTTGGCACAAAATAGAGAAAACTGGGATCCTGTTAAATCCCAGATGTATGGGCTTTTCCACATCCACTAAATACTGTTGTATAGCAACTTAAGGATCTCACAACATCACGGCCTCTCACCTGTAGATGAAGACAATGACCAGAACAATCAGTGCCACGAATGATGCACCAACACCCAAGCCAATCTGTGCCTCCAGCGGGAAGGTGAGCTGGCTCTCTGTGTCATACTGCACTCTGCCCAGGAGGAAGTTCAAGTTCCCCATCTGTACCTGCAGGAAAGCAAATGCTAGAACATTAGTTCAGTGCACCAGATGAAGCCCATGGTTTTGCTGTTCTCCAGAGAAGCAGAGCTGCATTCAGCAGTAAAAGCCATAACCCACAGCACAGCTCCTGGATCCAGCAGTACCACCTGTTTTAGATACTGCTTTGCACTTTTACGGGTAAAATTGGGAACACCACCTGCTCCCTGCCATTCCTAGCATTTCCTCTTGCCCAGCAGTGCTTCTGCCTTCCCTCCATTTCCCATCCTTGCCTGCAGGTTGACCTCTTGCCTATGCTCTCACCGACATCACGATTCCTAGCCCTGCTGCCGGGTCCCTACCGTGAATTCCGGGAGCAGGTCGGTGCCCTCCCGCTTCGTGCGGTGCCGCGGAGCCGGCTGCTCCGAGGGGGGTTCGCAGTACAGGTGATTCCTTGTCAGTGTCTTCACCACACAGATTCCTTCCCCAATCATGGCCATAACTTCATCCTTGGAAATGGCCAGATCTAGATTTTCCCCCTGGAATAGAGATGGAGAAACATAACAGATCAGGAAAAAAAAAAAAAAAAAGGAAAAAGCAAGCTCTGCACTGCCCATTGCCCTAGAATAGATGGAGATCAACAGCATAGGATCTTGTTCCAGAGATTTGTTAATCTCTGGAAAGTTTCTCTTTTTGTGCCTCCCATCAACATCATGTCTATTCTCTCTGCCACCCCCTCTCAGCCCCACTGGCCCATTTTTGCCCCCTGTACTACACCTCACTCCTAGTTCAAATGTATCCAGCTTCTGCTTGCTTGCTTAAGCTTTCCTCTATGAGATTTGAGAGCTGGCGTCATGTTGGTTCCCTTCCAGTCTTCTCAATTCCCCCTCCTTCTCCAAGATGAATTCAATGCAAATAGCAGAAGTCTAGACGTTTCTAAACTGGTATAACCTGGTAGTTTTCATTAGCACACAAAAAAAATCACTGGAGGAAGTGTGCCTCAGTGCAATCATTATCCTTCTCCCTTTCTATGGACCAGACAGCACTTTTCTACACAGACAACTACAGAGCCCTTTTCTATACACATAGAGGAAACAAGCACTAACAACATCTACCTTTTTGCATCGTTATTATGGAACAATTTTCCTACCTCCACCCAGTCTTCCTTACTGCTTTATGTTGTGCAGTACTTTAAAAGTCTGGATGCACGATCAAACTGACTAAAAACAGTCTCACGTTAGAAATAGATTTATAAGTACGAATTCCAGCTAGTTTTTGTGTTACCTCCACAGAGATGACGCTTCCAGGCTTGTGGCGATACGGTTTGGCAGGATCTTCAGAATTCAAGGGTTTTAGGATGGGGTTGACTTCATAAGAGAAGGGCATGGGATGGAGCGAGTTGAAATCAAAGCTCAGATTATCCAGAATAAATTCCAGTTTGATGTGAACACTCTGCAGGAGCAGGTTAATGGCTGGCGTTTTGCACAGGATAAGGTAGGAGGAGTTAATGAGACACGGTTCTTCAAACTAAAGGCCAAAGGAAAGAGAGCATTTAGTACTGAAACAGCCCAGGGCCGCTGCAGCCCTGCGGTGATCCCCAGCCCTCAGCTCACTGGGGTCAGCTCACATCCATCTCACCTGCAGCAAAGCAAAAGCAGCTCTGCTAATTGTACAGGGAAAACCTGAGATCTGAGGAATTCTCTAGAAAAAGTCTTTATAGCCATAGGTTTTGCTGGGAATACTCAGTGAGAATACAACAGCGGGAGACATCAGCTTTGAACTCGCTGCTCAGACAGGACGGGGCTAGGGACCTTCAAGGTCCAATTCAAGGCCCATCTTGTAACCTTTTGTAACTGTAACCGTTTTTTTAAACCAATTTTCAGCTATCAGGAACCCCTTTGTCTACAAATTCTGCTGTATTCTCTATAGTCCTGATGCAGTCATTATCTCAGGTATCTGACAGGAGGAGATCAGAAAAAAACCTGGTAGAATTGGTCATTCCACTGAACTCTAACTGCTTTTCTCAGAGTGAAAGACAGCCCAGGGACAGGTCTGAACTATGCAAAAAAGAAGAGCCTGGAGCTCGGAGATACTGAACAACACAGGATCTGTTGTAGATTCCTTCATCTCCACCCTGCTGCTCTGCTGTTTCTGTCTCCCACCACAAGCCCTGCACAGCTCAAGCCAGAAGCAGACCTCACCCAGACAAATGTTTACGAAATTGCTTAACCTTTAAGC